GAGGGGCTCTGGCTTGGGGGCCCTTCCTGTGTCTCTGTCGGGGAGCGGGTTCGTGGACGAGGCCCGCAGTGGCCGGAAACGCACCTTCGTTCCTTATTTGGTATTCCCCCTGGCAGCGCCATGACTGTCGAGCCAGGCGTCCGTCACGCCTTCTCCCTGCCGGCGGGCGGAGGTCGGTGCGGCCCGCTTTTCCCGCGCCAGTAAGAGCAGCCTCGCCGTAAGCAGTGGCGAAGCTTCTCGGCGTGCCTGTATGCCCACCAACGAATGTTATGAAACCTTGTTGTGGGCTACACGAAATGCTCTTAGAACAGTTCTGACTGAGACTGTCTTGTGTTGACGCATCGGGCCTATGTTCTAAGAACAATGTTGTTGCGACTTGAACCTTTTGGGGCTCTAAGAAACTTTCGTGGTAGGCCCACAGGAATGCCGGTACGGTGGGTCCCTGCTCAACCGCCGCTTTTCCCGCGTCGCCTGGGAGATCCAGCTCGAGGGAGCTGCTCCTGCCTTCGTGCACGCCTTCACGCGGAACAGCAGGGAGGACCTATCCCGCCTCTGTCCTCCTCTTCCCTCCCGATGGGAGAAAGCTCCCTTCGCGCATTCGTTTGCCGGCTCGGATCCGTCCCCGACCGTCCACTGCTTCACCTCCTGCTTCCTCCTTCCCTTCCTGGTTATCCCTCCTTTACAATTACTCAATATGAATTTTCTCTCCCTCTTCCCCTGATGGCGTCCGGGTGATGGCCGCGCACCCTCCGCGTACTGTTTTTTTACACAGGATGCCCGGGAAATCCCGGGAAACGACTCTCGCTGAGGCGCCGGCGTCATTTTTTCTCAAAATGCTGCTCTCCGCGCCGGCGTCATTTTTTCCCAAAATGCTGCTCTCGTTGAGGCGCGGGCCTCATTTCTGCTCCCGAATCCTTCCCCTGATGGTCGTCCGGGTGATGGCCGCGCACCCTCCGCGTACTGTTTTTTTACACACAGGATGCCCGGGAAATCCCGGGAAACGACTCTCGCTGAGGCGCCGGCGTAATTTTTTCCCAAAATGCTGCTCTCGTTGAGGCGCCGGCCTCATTTCTGCTCCCGAATCGTTCCGAATCGTGCTCCCGCTGCAGCGTGGGCCTCATTTTCGGATCGGTGTTTGGCCTCCGTCGTTCAGGATGGCGTTCTCGCCCCAGCGCGGGCCTCTTTTTCTCGCGCGCCATCCGCCCGCCACCACCGCGCCGCACCGCATCACCACCACCACCACCACCACCACCACCAACACACCACCACCACCACCACCACAAAACCACCACCAGCACCAGCACCAGTAAACCAACACCCACCACCAGCCACCACCACCACCACAGGCACCACCAACCACCACAATCACCACCACCACCACCACCACCACAACCTCGCACCAGCCACCACCACACCACCACCACCACCACCACCACCACCACCATCACCAACACCACCACCACCACCACACACCACCACCACCACCACCACCACCACGACAACCACGCACACACGCACGCACGCACGCACGCACGTGCACCACCACCCACTACGCACGCGCGCGCGGAGCCACAGGTCCGCTACGACACGCGTCCGCGGACAGAGAAAATCAGCGCCGTGGTAAGGGATGGGAGGGAGGGGTAGGACGTCAGATATGACGCGAGCGCACCTAGCTAGTCCCTCCCCCTCTTCCCTCCTCCCCCCATCCCTCTTTCCCCTCTTCCCCAGCCTCCCCCCGCCTCCCTTCTCTCTCCTCATCATGCTCTTCCTCCTTCCGCTCGCCCCGGCTCTCCTCCCCCCTCCTCCCCCATTTGCACTCCTCGCCTTTCGTCCTCCGCTCATCCTCTGTCTCTTCTCCGCCTCATCCCTCCTCCTTTTCTTCCTCCACCTCCATCCTCCGTCCTCCGAGCGGACTTTCGGAACTTTCTTGTTGAGGCCTTTTGTTTCGCCTGCCAGCCCCCTCGCAGACCTCCTGGGGTCGGGGTCCTGTCAGAGCAGCGCGCGAGGAGGAAGTTACGTAAAGTTGAAACGGGAGGACGAGTAGGATAAGGTGGAGGAGGAGGAGAAGGGGGAAGAGGAGGATATGGTGGAAGAGGAGGGAGAGGAGGAAGAGGTCCACGAAAAATTCGAGATTGATCGAGCTTTTGACCAACAAAAGAGGAGAGGAAGACAATGACGGATGTGATGATAGCACGTGCATGGCGATGTTCTCTCTTGTTCCATTCCCTTTCTCGAATACGAGCTCCTATTTCACTTTGAGAGATGCCAGAGTCGGTGCGGGAAAGGAACTCAAGAGTGCTGCGGCAAACATCTGGATGCTACAAAGGGTAGGGCATGAGGAAGCGAGGAATTTCGAACTCACCTGAGGTCGGATCTATCGGGGCCAACGTAGGGGCTCCGGCCAGCCGTCGAACGCCATCCCCGAGTATTGGAACATATTCTGAGTCCACTCCTCCTCCGAGTCTGATGTCGAGGGACGCCTCGTACCAGCCTGGCTCTGCCGTGCACGGATTAACTCCTCCTGATGGGCCTTCCGCCAGCAGTCGTCTGTGTACCACAACAGGGGGCCGAACGTCGGGTAAGACGTCGTGTTCAGTTGAACCATGCATTGAAGCCATCGACGAGCACGAGGGCAAGATACTCACGAGTTATCTTTAGTACCACACCGTCACGTAGAGTGTCGAGGAGAGACAGGGGCATTGAAGAAGACGGGCACGAAAAGAAAGACGTTGATGATGAAGAAACATGTGTGCTCGCTCGACGCTGGACACGAGGCGTACACCGACGGCGCGCGAACCCTGGCTCCCCATTGCCTGCAAGAGGCCGAGCTGAACCAAGTTCTGAGGGAAACCCTGCTGGCGTACCACCACCACCACTGCCGCGCACTGGTTTGCTGGCAGTCTCGAGCCCTCCTCGGAGGGCGGTGTCACGGGTGTGAGCTGTGAGCACACATCGAATTGTTTGAGACCAGGCGGCGGCGGCACAGACCAGCAAGCAACCGAGCAACACGGACATGACGGGGATGGAAGAGGAGGGGAAGCGGAGGAGGCTATGATTATCAGGGTGGGGAAAAGAGAGAGATAGAGAGAGAAAGAGAGAGAGAGAGAAACATAATGAGAGAGAACAAAAGAGAGACGGACAGAACAATGAGGGGGGAGAAAGGAAACGAGAGAGGGGGGGAGAGAGAGAGAGAGAGAGAGAACACACACACACACACACACGCACCCACACACTCACATCAATATCATATGGAGAGAAGGAGGGAGGCGGAGGGAAGGAGGGAGAGAGGGAGGGAGGAAGGGAGGGAGAGAGGGAGGGAGGGGGGGAGGGAGAACGAGGAGGAGACGAGGCAGGAGGAGGACGAGGAGGAAGTGGAGGGAATGATGAAAAGGAAGGAGAAGGCGGAAGGCAGTCATGTGTAGCATTTGCCGTCCCTATGAAGAGGATGGGGAGGAGACATGCCGTAACGAGGCGGCCGCAGAAGGACCCGCGGCGGGGTCCCATCGACTCTGGAAGTTTCTTGGGGCCCTCCTTGAGGCATACTCACGACTTCCCGGAGGCCTCTTCGTGAAACTCGGGTGCCTCTGCGGGGCCTCCCTAGCCGTCGGAGGCAGTCTTGGGGGCCTCGCGGGGCAGTGCTGGGCAATCGTTGGGCGCGCTGTTGCCGCATTGGAGGTCTCTGGGCCCCTCTTGGGGGCCGTCCTGGGGGCCTCCCGAAGGTTTCGGGGGTATGTAAAATCAATGATTTTGGCATTCTCGCCGAGGCCTCTTGGAGCGTTTTGGGTGCCTCTCGGGGGCCTCTTGGGGCCTCTTGTGGGTCTCTTGGGAGCCTCTTGGGGGCATCCTGCCACCTCTTGGGGCCCTCTTGGGGCACCCTTGGGAGCCTTGGGATCGCTCTTGGGGCCATCTCGGAGGAGATCGATCAAAGAAGGGGGGGTCCCTAGTTAGCCTTCCTCCCCCAGGAGGCCAAATGGGGCCAAGGCCTTTTTTTGGCTTCCTCGCCGAGGCCGTTTTAGACGCTCCGACCGCTCGCGAAACGCCCCGTCCAGGTCCAGGGGAGGGGGTAGGGGGAGGGGTAGCCCCTCCCCGAAGGGGAAGAGGGAAGGGTGGAAGAGGAAACGCCCTAAGCCACCCACGCCCAGAGGGCTGGTGGAATTTGTGGCGCTCCGCGCTGATTTCTTGGATCCGCGCTGGGCCCCCCCGCCGGCGCCTCTGGCGCCGCCCCTGGCGCGCTCCAGCGCAGATCCAAGAGATTCGCGCTGAGTGCCGCCGACTGGACTCCACTGGGCCGTTCTGAGGCCATTTTGGAGCTCCCTTGGGGGCCTCTTGTGCCGTTTTCGGGCGCCTTGGGGATCTGTGCACGGACGGACTTGGCCTCCTCGGGGCCCCCTGAAGTCTCTCTTGGACCGATCTCGGAGCGTTCGGGGGACCTATCCGGCCGCCTTGGGCCATCTTGGGACCATCTTGGGCCCTCGGACGGCTATCTTGGGCCGTTTTATGCCGTCATGGAAACCACTTGGGGCCATCTCGGCTGCCTTGGAGGCCCTCGTGGAGCCATATTGGGCGGGAGGCGGAACTATAGTTGGTTTTTATTGACACTTCCGTGTGGCCAGCGGGTTCGACTGGTGTCCTTTGGGAACTTGCTTTGGAAATAATTTCAAAAGTGCTAAACCTCGACACGCCAAGCACCCGTCGGCATGCTACGGGGCGGCGTATGTAGTGGCCTCCGGCCAATCCCGCCACCATGCCTGGGTTGCGGGTCAGAGTTCTCTTGGATGCTTGTGGGGGTTTCTGGGGATGCCTCTCGATGGCCCCTTGGACGCCTCCCGGGGGGCCTCTTGGGGGTCTCTGGGTGTTTTGGCCACCCTTTTACTAGCTCCTGTGAGTGCACCGTGGAGTGCCTCGTGGCGGTGTTTTATGCCGTCTTGGCACGAAAGGACTCTTGGGGCCCGAGGACATTCCACTCAGCGCCTATATCGCACGGCGGCGGGCTTTCTGCAGCCACTTTTGGCTCCCAGTCATCCCGACTACAGGTCGGCACGGCGACTCTGTACACGGCGCCCCCTGCCTTCCGTGGGCGGGGGCTTTATTCACACCCACGGGCTCGCGGGCTGGGCCCCCTGGGCCGCGACCTCGTGGACACGGGGGGTCATTCCTCGCGAGATGCCCCGCGCGGAACGCATTTTCCTGCAACCGCCCCGCCCACAGACCGCGAGGGAATGAACCCAGACGCCCGGTGCCTTGATTGTTCCACGGCGTGGGCCCTCGGACGTCCTGGCGGAGGAGGAGGAGGAGGAGGAGGAGGAGGAGGAGGAGGAGGAGGCGCACTTCCCTGGGCTGGCCTTCCATCCGGAGCTGTTGTTTGGCGGCCCCAGGGGCCCAGCGAGGGTGCCCAGAGGCCGAGCCCGGCAGACAACAAGTGCCCGTCGTGATGTCGTCGCGGCGCGAGGGGCCTGTCGGGGCCAGGGCGAGGAGGAAATCTCAACGGCACCGTAACGGGTACTTACTAACGGGTATTTTGAATTTTGCCGAAAATTGCCACTCTAGGGCCTTTTCCTTGCATTGCAGCTTTGCCCACATCGGGAAGGGCTGGGTTCGCTGGGCCACTGGCCAAAGTACCCGTTAGTGGAGTCCCCGTTTGAGGGGCGCTGAAAATCCGTTCCGGAGCGTTCCGGGACGCTCTCGGAGCGTCCCGGAACGCTCTGAGAAGGCCGCGGCGCGCGATACATCTTCCAGAGCCGCCGGATCCCACAGATTCCCGATCTTATCCTCGCCCGACGTGCTCTTCGTCCTGGCTTCGTCCTAGGTGTGGATCTGCTCGCCGCTCATGTCAAGTCGGGCATGTCCCTCTACAGAGGGAAGATTGTAAAATAGTCCATAAATAGTCTGGTGGCGTTTTTCGGCCTATTTTTGATGATCTCTGAATGCATTTTGGGGGTACTTCTCATTTTTCGTCGAAAGTCCGCTTGTAGGCTGCAGGAGGACATGCCCGACCTAACGCTCGTGAGACGTCGGCTCGCGGCCCGCGGCGGCGCCCGCGCCGCATGGCGGCGCGGCGGCGGGGGCCCGCACCGCGCCGGGCAGTGCTCCTGGCGGCGGCGGTGCTCGCTGGGGGCGCCGCCGAGGGCGGCGGTGACCCTCGCCGAGAGTCCGAGGCGGGAGTTCGGGAAAACAGCGGCATACAGTCGGAAGGTACGTCAGCCACGCGCAGAGGGAGGAAAGGCTTCTTAGAAGCAACCCTGCTTCTTAGAAGGCACGGTCCTTGTCTGCAGATGTCCGGCCTTCTAAGAAGCAGCCTGCTTCTAAGGAGCCTTCACCCCATCCTCTGCGCGCATACAGTCGGAACGAGGTATAAGATCGAGGTCTATAACGGCCGCCGGAGACCCGAGTTTTGAGCCAAAAACCAAATGCGGCGGCGGACCGAGATCGAGGTCGGTTCGGGGAGGGTTCCCATAGTGTTCTCCGTGCTTGCTGGATGTGCTTGTGTATTCTGCGGGGGAATGCTCTTCGTTTTGGTCGGCGAAGGATGCTCTTCTGTCCTAGGTTCGACTGCAGCTCCTCCTCCTCCTCCGACGACGACGACGGCGACGACGACAGCGGCGGCGGCGGCGGCGGCGGCGGCGACGACGACGTCGACCGAGATCCATCGTATGGAAAATGGAGAAGTGAAGGCAGAGGTTTTCCACCTTTTTCGGCCGCGGGAGGCCCCGTAGGTTTTCCATTTGTCGCCGATCTATAGGGGGCGCATCGGCGACTCAGGCCTAGCGCCCCCCCCCCCTTGGGCCGGCCAGCGCCCCCCGCCCTTCCCCTCGAGGGCGGCCGCTGCCCCCGCTGCCCGGACCTCTCCTGGGGTGAGTTCGGACTGGAGTTTCGAGGGGGTCCCGGCCGCGGCAACGAGATTTCTTGGAGGTTTAGACGGGCCAAGCCGAGGGAAAGGCAGCGGCGTCGGCGCAGTCAGATTTCATCGGTTGGGCGACCTGGCCAAATCAAAGGGCCCACCTGCATCCCGCGTTTCGCGCCGCGTGCGCGACGGGAGGAGACGCGCTCGACGTCGCGGACATTCGCGCGCAAGCTGACCGCGTGGAGTCGCGCGCGTTGGCGCCCCCGTTTCCCACGCAGCGCGCCGCGCTGCCGGCCTGCGTGAGTTGCCGCGCAGGAGCGCCGAGCTATCGCGCGCGTTGCGCACGACTGCGTAGCAACCTGGCGCGGCGAAAAGAGTCGGGTCTCACATGCCACGAAAGACCCGAGTGTAGTCACCGCTCGCTGGGGCGGCGAGGCCCTCGGTGGGGCCTCGCCGGCCCGCGCGCGCCCCGCCCCGCTCGCACTCGATCGCGCGGCCAAGACGCGGGAGGAACCTGGCGCGGCGAAAAGAGTCGGGTCTCACATGCCACGAAAGACCCGAGTGTAGTCACCGCTCGCTGGGGCGGCGAGGCCCTCGGAGGGGCCTCGCCGGCCCGCGCGCGCCCCGCCCCGCTCGCACTCGATCGCGCGGCCAAGACGCGGGAGGAAGGGGCAGTTTGGACTTGGAAGTTCCTTTCAGCCACGCGCAGAGGGGGGTGGGGGGGGGGGGGGGGGGCTTCTTAGACGCACCCCTGCTTCTTGGAAGGCGCGGGCCTGATCTATAGATGTACGGCCGGCGCCTTCTAAGAAGCAGCCTGCTCCCAAGCAGCCCCCCCCCCTCCCCCCACCCCCTTGTGCGCGCCGCCAGTCCTCGCTGTTCCTCATGTGCGTCCATGGCTGTTCCTCTGGCGCTCCGCGCGCGCCCTGTCGCCGCTGGTGGCAAAACGGGGCCTCGTTCCCTGACGTGGCGTTCATTTGCGGCGGCGCGATGGCTGCGCGTGTTCCTTGGATCTTGGCATCGCTCGGACGTGTGCATTTTTTTCTTGGCGAGAACAGTAGAGGACCATCCTGGACCATCGAGCCAAAGAAACACGCACGAAACCGACAAATGAACCGGAAATGGACGTCCGAGCGACGGCAGGTGGATGCGCGGCCCATGTCGATCTGATCGATCCAATTCGACATCGAACTCCGGCTTGGCCGATCCGATCCCGACATTCCAGCGGTGCGGTGTTTGCGCGGCGCTGTTGTGCAGCGTGGATGGGCAGACTCCCGCCTCGCCGACAGGCGCAGTCCTCGCGGCGGCGCGGCCTCGCCCGCGCCGAGGCGGACTTCGAGGCCGAGTTCGGCGCCCTCGCCGCGCCGTTGCTGTGTTCGGGCTGCCGGCTCGCTGGCGCCCGGCTCGGCCTCGAGTTGGACGCCAGGAGCTCTCGGCGATTAAGCAGTGGCGAAGCGTCCTGGCCCGCCTGTAGGTCCACCGGGGAGTATTCCGCGAACCGCGTCGTGATTTTCAGGAGGTACTTTTGTGAAGCATTTCTGGCCGGGGCCGTCCTGTTTTAGCACATCGGCTTCGCGTTCTATAAACGTGGCTCTCGTCCTTAGAACGTTAGTTCGTTTTAGAGCGTTTCGTGGTAGGCCCCTGGGAGTGCCAGGACGGTCGGTTCCTGCTCAATGCTACACGCGCGAGGCTCTTCAGATCCGGGCGTTTCAAGATGCGTCGCAACGGCCGGTTGTTTTCGCCCGGTTTCAGGCCCCAGGACCCTCACATATCGTGATTGTTCGAAAAATGGCGCAGCATGATGGGGTCTATTGCTGCAGGCGTGATTTGTCGGGATTTTCTTCCCAACCATCCTGTGGTGTTGGGTCTTTGTTTTGAAGAGACGGTCCCTGCGTTTCCTTCCTCCTCCTTCCTCCCCCTCCTCCCTCCCTGCGTTTCACCCACCCGCAGCGCTTCGTAGTCCCATAGGGAATTCCACCGAAGGCCACAGTGCCACCGCCCGCATGCGTCACCCACGCCCCTTTCGGCACACCCCTCACACGTTTCGTGGCCCCATAGGGAGCTCCACTGAAGGCCACAGTGCTACCGCCCGCATGCGTCACCCACACACATTTCGGCACACCACGCACACGTTTCGTGGCCCCATAGTGAGCTTCACCGAATGCCCCAGTGCCACCGCCCGCATGCGTCACCCGCACCCATTTCGTCACACCTCTCACACGCTTCGTGCCCCCATAGTGAGCTTCACCGAAGGCCCCAGGGCCACCGGCCGCATGCTTCACCCACACCCATTTCGGCACACTCCTCATACGCTTCGTGGCTCCATAGGGAACTCCACCGAAGGCCCCAGTGCCACAGCCCGCATGCGTCACCCACACCCATTTCGGCACACCACTCACACGTTTCGTGGCCCCATAGGGAACTCCACCGAAGGTTCCAGTTCCACCGCCCGCATGCGTCTCTTGCAGGCCAATTTTGAGAGCCTTGGAGGTTTCCTGGGCCGTCTTTTGGCCTTCTTGGGACCGTATTAGGAGACCTCTTGGACCGTCAGGGAACCATCTTGGGGCCTCTTCTTCGACGCTCTTGGAGACATCTTGGGAGCCTCTTAGGCTGTCTTGGGCCGTCGGAAAGCCGACAACGAGCAACGCCAGAATCCTTCAGAACCCATTTGAAAATCATTGATTCTTACCTTCTCGGGCCTTCCTGGAGGTCCCTCTTGGAGGTTTCTTCGGCCGTCTTGGGGGCCTCTTGGGCCGTATTGGGCCATCTTGAGGCCATCGATGGCCATCTTGGGGGCATCTTGGGCCGTCTTGGAAACATTTTAGAGCCATCTTGGGCTCCCTTCGGGCCATTTTCTCAGTCTTGGGCGAACTTGGGGGCCAATTTGGGTTGTCTTGGCCGTCTTGGAGGCGGCGTCGTGCAGATTTCTGGTCGTCTTGGACCCGAAGGCGGAACGCGCCGAAGCCCCAGGAGTGGTTCTTTTGTAAAAAGAACCAAAACCAAAACCGAAAGGTTTCAGCGCGCCAGGCACCCCTGTGATGAATCAACAGGGAGCGGCGGATCGAAGACGCCTACGGCGAATCACCGCCGCCCCCTGCCTTTTTGGAAGCGCCTATGTGGCCGAACGTTGAGGTCAGACCTGCCAAGCTATCGGACCATGTGTTCCCCGAATCGGTTTGGAACGCCTTCTGGGAACACGTGGGCATCTTGAAGGTCATCTTGGCCGTCTGGAGGCCATGTTGACCCTTTCGGGCCTTCTTGGAGGACGTCTTGGAGGGCTCTTGGGCTGTCTTGGAGGCCATCTTGAGCGTCTTGGAGGCCTCTGGGCCGTCTTGGGGGCCTCTTGGGGCCGCCTTGGGCCTCTTGGGCGATCTTTGGGGGCACTTGGGCCGTCTCGGGCCGTCGGACGGCCGAAACAAAACAAATGCCATAATCCTTCAACAACCCATGGCAAATCAATGATTCGGGCCTTTTCGGGCCTTCCTGGAGGCCCTCTTGGAGGCCTCTTGGGCCGTCTTGGGCCATCTTAGGGTCATGTTCGGCCGTCTTGGTGGGCTCCTGGTCCGTCTGACGCCGTCGGAAGCCATTTTTGGGGCCTCTTTGGGCCGACTTGGGGCCCTCTTGGAATGCTCCAGGGCCGTCTTGGAGGCCATCTTGGGCGTCTTAAAGGCCCCCTGGGCCGTCTTGGGGGCCTCTTGAGGCCGTCGGAGGGCAGAAAAGAAGCAAATGTCAACGTCCTTCAACAATCTACGGACAAAACATGTTGTTGGCCTCTTCTGGCCTTCCTGGAGGCCCTCTTGGAGGCCTCTTGGGCAGTCTTGAGCCAGCTTCGAGCCAACTTCGGCCATCTTGATGGGTTCCTGGCACGCCTGACGCCGTCGGGAGCCGTCTTGGGGGCCTTTCTGGGCCGAGTTGGGGCCCTCTTGGGGCGCTTCGGGGCCGTCTTGGAGGCCATCTTGGGCGTCTTGGACGCCATCTTGGGCGTGTTGGAGGCCTTTTGGGCCGTCTTGGGGCCCTGTTGGGGCCGTCTTGGAGGCCTCTTGGGCCTTCATGGGGCCCTCTTCGGGGCATCTTGGGCGATCTTGGGGGGGCCGTCTCGGGCCGTCGGACTGCCGAGAAGAAGTAAATTCCCAAATCCTCCAAAAACCTATGAAACATTACATTACTGATTTGGGCCTCTTCGGGCCCTCCTGGACGACCTCTTGGAGGCCTCTTGGGCCGTCTTGGAGGCGTCTTGGCTGCTTCTCGGGCGAACTTGGGGTTATCTTGGACTCTCTGAGGCAGTCTTGGAGGCCGTCTTGGACCATCTTCGGCGGAATTGGAGGCCATCTGGGACCATCTTGGAGGCCATCTTGGGCCAACGTGGCCATCTTGGAGGCCATCTTGAGCTGTCTTGGAGGATTTGTCCAGGAATTGAGATCCTGGAAGATCGTCCCGGGACCCCGGCGGGACGGGCCGAAGCCCCAGGGGGGGTTCTTTGGGAAAAAGAGCCAAAACCAAAACCGAGATAATCTAGCACGCCAGGCACCCCTGCGATGAATCGACCGGGGGCGGCGGATCGAAGACGCCTACGGCGAATCACCGCCGCCCCCTGCCTTTTTGGAAGCGCCTATGTGGCCGAACGTTGAGGCCAGACCTGCCAAGCCATCGGACCATGTGTTCCCCGAATCGGTTTGGAAAGCCTTCGGGGAACACGTGGGCATCTTGAAGGTCATCTTGGCCGTCTTGGAGGCCTCTTGGGCGATCTTTGGGGACTCTTGGGCCGTCTCGGGCCGTCGGAAGGCCGAAAAGAAGGAAATGTCAACGTCCTTCAAAAACCTCAGGAACATCTATGTTTTTGGCCTCTTCTGGCCTTCCTGGAGACCCTCTTGGGGGCCTCTTGGGCCCTTTTGGGCCAGCTTCGAGCCAACTTCGGCTACTTGGTGGGTTCCTGGCACGTCTGACGCCGTCGGGAGCCGTCTTGGGGGCCTTTCTGGGCCAACGGGGGACCCTCTTGGGGCGCTTCGGGGCCGTCTTGGAGGCCATCTTGGGCGTGTTGGAGGCCTCTTGGGCCGTCATGGGGCCCTCTTGGGGCCATCTTGGAGACCACTTGGGCCGTCATGGGGCCCTCTTGGGGGCCTCTTGGGCGATCTTGGGGCTTGGGCCGTCTTGGAGGCATCTTAAAGCCATCTTAGCCGTCTTGGGAGGCCATCCTGGCCGTCTTGGAGGCATCTTGTAGGCCATCTTGGAGCCGTCTTGGGCAGGAAATTGGGGAATTGAGGTCCCCGGCAATCCTTCCGGGACCCCGGCGGGACGCGCTGGAGCCCCAGGGGGAGTTCTTTGGGAAAAAGAGCCAAAACCAAAACCGGGAGGGTTCAGCACGCCAGGCACCCTTGCGATGAATCGACAGGGGGCGGCGGATCTAAGACGCCTACGGCGAATCACCGCCGCCCCCTGCCTTTTTGGAAGCGCCTATGTGGCCGAACGTTGAGGCCAGACCTGCCAAGCCATCGGACCATGTGTTCCCCGAATCGGTTTAGAAAGCCTTCGGGGAACACGTGGGCATCTTGAAGGTCATCTTGGCCGTCGTGGAGGCCTCTTGGGCGATCTTTCGGCGATCTTTGGGGGCTCTTGGGCCGTCTCGGGCCGTCGGAAGGCCGAAAAGAAGGAAATGTCAACGTCCTTCAAAATCTCAGGAACATCTATGTTTTTGGCCTCTTCTGGCCTTCCTGGAGGAACCTCTTGGGGGCCTCTTCGGCCGTCTTGGGCCAGCTTCGAGCCAACTTCGGCCATCTTGGTGGGTTCCTGGCACGTCTGACGCCGTCGGGAGCCGTCTTGGGAGCATTTCTGGGCCAACGGGGGACCCTCTTGGGGCGCTTCGGGGCCGTCTTGGAGGCCATCTTGGGCGTCTTGGAGGCCATCTTGGGCGTGTTGGAGGCCTCTTGGGCCGTCATGGGGCCCTCTTGGGGCCATCTTGGAGGCCACTTGGGCCGTTATGGGGCAAACTTGTTTGGAAAATCAATGATTTTGGCCTCTTCGGGCCCTCCTGGAGGACCTCTTGGAGTGCTCTTGGGCTGTCCTTGAGGCCTCTTAGGGGCCTCTTGGGCCGCCTTGGGCCATCTTGAGGCTTTCTTAGGCCGTCTTGGGTACATCTTGGGCCGTCTTGGAGGTATCTTCAAGCCATCTTAGCCGTCTTGGAGGCCATCCTGGCCGTCTTGGAGGCATCGTGTAGGCCATCTTATTGGAACCGTCTTGGGTAGAAAATTGGGGAATTGAGGTCCCCGGCAATCCTTCCGGGACCCCGGCGGGACGCGCCGGAGCCCCAGGGGGAGTTCTTTGGGAAAAACCAAAACCAAAACCGGGAGGGTTCAGCACGCCAGGCACCCTTGCGATGAATCGACCGGGGGCGGCGGATCTAAGACGCCTACGGCGAATCACCGCCGCCCC